TCCAATCCACAGGAGCAGGAAAGAGCCACTCCAGGGAACAGCGGCATGTACCCTCTCCGTGTCTCTCCACAGCATTCATTTTCGGAGCTGGTTGGCTTTAGATGACAGCCCTACAGCAGGAGAGTCACACTCTGTACCTGGGAAAGGAGGTGCATAATGGCTGGGGACTGAGTGGACCTGTGGGAGCCCCTCAGCTTGAAGGACTCCCCCAGAATCCCCAAACCATGTCATTTCTGACCTATGGTGGCTTACCATCCAACTGTCTATTCTCCTAGTCTAATCGCACAGGTCTTATTCAGAGGTACATATTGTACAGGAGTGAGCATGTTGGGTTCCATGCTCCATTACGGTACAGCTGTCACGGTACGCCAAGGCTTTGCCTTCCCAGCATCATCCACCAGAAAGCATGTGTGTGGGAGGATGGATTAGGGTGGCATGTGATGAGCGGATCCCATGGCATTTTAGTAGCTCCTGAAGGGAATAACTCATGTTGGGGATCAAGAGGCCATTGCAGGGCACTGTCATGGAAAAGATGAGATTGAGGTTTCTACGTTAGTTTTAGAGATGCCCAATGACAGACATCTGGATTAGGCAGTCCTTCTCTAAGAGGCCTCACATCCCTGGTGTATCCCTAGAATTGCCCTTACTGTGCTGTAGAGAATTGACTTCTATTTATGTGGCTGTCTCCTCTGGACTGTGAGCTCCCTGAGAGCTGTGCTTCATCAGAAGGCAGCTTACCATTATGGTTGAGCATGTGACTCTGAGTTTTAATTGTTTGGATTCAGTTATGTGGCCTTGGGCAAACTCTTTAATTTTATAGGATTGAAGGAAGAATTGAGTGAGCTAATGCATATGTAGCACTTTAGATGTAGTCTGGCATATGGTCAGTTCTTAGTGTATGTTAACTGTTATTGTTATTAACTGCCGTATCCTCGGCCTTCACATGAAGTCTGATGCTCAGTAGCTCCTCAGCATGTTTACTGAGTTGCTGAATGAGTAAATACCTATGTGCATGCAGAAGAGGTTGACCTACAGTAATGGGAATTAAGGCAGATGAAGTGGTTGAACATTCTGGGCTTGAGGTAGGGCAGGAAAGAGAAGCTGGGCTATAGAGCGGCATTTTGTTGGCAGTTGTGGGAGATGATTTCCACAGGAAATGAGTAGAAGGAAGTTAGTGTACAAAGTCCAGATAGCTGAACTTGACCTCTAGAACTGTGCTTGATCCTGAACTTAAGCATCACAACTTGTAGGATCCTCAGTGAGGTGAGGTGAGGTGAGGTGATTTTGTGGACAGAATGTGGGCATATGGTGTCCTGGGAGAGTCATTATAGTGCAATCAAGAGTGGGATATCTGTCAGCTTTACTCAAAGCAAGTCACAGATACATGACCATCCCTATCAGAATATAAGTGATGTTTTCTTAAAGAAATGGGAAAACTCACTCAAACAGTATGTGTGTATTTGTGGGGCTGAGAATCAAATCAGAGCCTCATGTATGCTAGACAAGTGCTCTACTATATACAGCTCTAAGTTTGGTAAAAGAATGAAGTTGGAGGAATAATACTTTGATTTCAGAACTTAATACAAAGCTGTGATAATCAAAATGGCATGGTACTGACATAATGGATATGTGGGACAATGAAATAGATTAGAGGGCTCTGAAATAAACTACTGTATATGTGGTCAAATGATTTTCAATCAAGACAATTCAACATAAGGGGGTCAGTCTTTTCTACAAGTGATGTTAGGGGAAAGTGTGTATTCACATGGAGAGGATTCCTACCTTATAGCGTTCACAAAACATAACTCAAATGGGTCAATACCTGCATGTAAAAATGCTTAGAGGGAAAATACTGGGTTTGGCAATGATTTCTTAGATATCAAAGAAGGCACAAGCAACAGAAGAGGAAATAGTCATCAAAACTTCATCAAAGTTAATAACTTTGGGGTATTAAAGGACATGGTCAGTAGCATTAAAGAGCAGGGCTTCAGAAATGGTTAAGTGGTTAACAGCCCTTGCTGGAAAATCATGTTGATGATGGGAGTTTGGATCCCAGGTGTCCTACCTGAAGAGCTGAGTAACTCAGCTCTGAGGGATCTGGTATCCTTTTCTGACCTCTGGGTGTTTGCAGGTGCAAGCACCACCCACCACCCACACAAGAGCAACACCAACAATGGGAGTCCATTTTGTAAAACACATACCTGACAGAAGATCGGTATCCAGAGTATGTAGAGAACCCCCACAGCTCAACAGCAAACAAGCCAATTCAGAACGGGCAAGGAATCTGAATAGATATTTTTCCAAAGATGCTAAATGGCCAATTAGCACATTGATGTTCAGTGCACTAATTACTGGGAAATGCAAATCAAAACCATAATAAGGCTGGGGCTGGGGCTGAGTTGGTTGAGTGCTAGCCTAGCACATACAAAGCCCTCAGTTTGATTGCCAGTACCATAGAAAACAAGGCACTGTGGCAAATGCATGGAAACTTAGCACTCACAGTGGAGGAAGAGGAGTGTAAGTAAGGTCATCTTTGACAGCATAGTTGGGTTACATGAGACCTTGTCTCAATTAATTAATTACCATAGTAAGATACCACTTCACATCTGACAGCATGGTCACCACAAACAACAGCAACAACAAAATCACCTTGGCAAAGATGTGGAGAAATCAGATATCTTATGTACCCTGGATGAGGCTATTAAATGGTACTGTTGCTACGGAAATAAGAATGGTGGTTCAAAAAAATAGTCATAGATTTTATAATGCCGCAATTAATTTTACTTTAGGTGTATATAAATAAGAGTTGAAAGTAGGAATTGGAATACTTTTGTACACCAGTTTTTGGAGAAGCATTATTCACAATAGCCCAGAGGTGGAAGTAACCAAGTTCCCACTGACAGATGAATGCATAAGAAAATGTCAAGTCTACACATAATGAAACATTAGCCTTAAAAAGGAAGCAAGCTCTAACACATACTGTAACATAATGAATCTTGAAGATATGCTAAGTGAAATAAGTCAGCCATAAAATGGCAAACTCTGATTCCACTCATGTGAGGGACCTGGACTTGTCAAATTTATAAAGACACAAAGTAGAGCTGTAGTTGCTAGGTGCTGGGGGTGGTGAGTGAAAGGCACCCAAATTTTGGTTTTGCAAGATGACGCAGGTTCTGTGGGCACAGTGAAACTGAACTCTGTGCCTAAAAATGATCAAAATGGCATGGTTTTTGTTATGCACATTTTAGCACAGTTTCTAAAAGGCAAGGGCAGAACTGAGGGAAGAAGGGGAAGTAGAAGCTGTGAATATGAGTGAAATGAACTTTCGTGAACAGGGTTACAAGCACCTTGGGCGAGCTTGTTATGAAGATCCATCCTCTGGAGTCCTTAGCTGATCTGTTTTTGCTCATCAGCTCATTGGTACTTCGTGGCCATCTCTCCATCACTGTTCATGTTGCTTCCTTTTCCGTTGATCTCTGAAGGCTGACGGTTCATGAAGAACCTACTGGTACCCACTTAGCAGTGTCAGCTTTCTGTCTTAGCATCTCGTTCTGGGTAAGCAAGCTTTCAGTAATTAACATCTCATGCCTGACCTCTCTGTCAGGCTGCATCTGGAACGGCAGCTGTCTGCTAGACTCTGCTCCAGCATCTCCAGTTGTTTGGCCCAAACTGGACTCTGTCTTTCCTTGCTCTGCTGTCCCCGGCTGTAGTGAAAGACATGGATCATTTGGTTCTCAGGTGTAGGAAACATACACTAGGAATCCCTTCCCCCTGCCTTGCTTCCGGCTCAGCTCAACTGTCAGCATTGTTGCTTGCCCCCTCTGTGACCACATACTACACAGGCATCCTGGTTTCCCCATCCACCATTTGTACTCAGCTCCCTTCTTTTTCTGAATCAACCATTCGGTAGCTACCACCCTCCACGGGCTGGTTATATTCGCTGTGGTCTTCCCTAGGGCTTCTCAGTAAATATTGCGTGTCTTCTTCCCCTGAACTCTTGAACCTCATGTGTTCTGGGAGGCCATATGGGTAATTCTAGCAATGAGTTGTGAAGGAACGTGACATGAGTCACTTCTCCAGAGCACACAGGCCAATGATACCAGAGTTCTTTTCTCTCGGGCATGGTAACTAACGATGTCTGAGATGTTGGCTGCTTTGTCATCTTGTGCCCCTGGATAAATATACTGAGCAGGGTTCCCATTGTTGATGTGATGGGCACGTAGAAAGAATGAGAGACATACCTTCACTGCCTTCAGCGTAACCCAACCTCTACTGACGAACACGAACCTGCTAGTTTTTAAAGCTCTAGTTAGAACCAGTGCCTCAGTGGAGTCTGCTTGCTTGACCTGACAGGAAGGCTGTAGAAGGCACAGTGACCTGCTTAGGCACCAAGCCCTTCTCTCAGCAGTCTGGTTCCCTGTAGAGCACCAGTAAATTAGATGCAGTTGTGCAGAAATGGATGAAACTTCCACTTGCCTCTCTACAGGCCAACTTCTAAATTAATTAGAGGCTTGGGGTGAGTAGAGAGGACATTCTGTTAAGCTGGTGTTCTTTTCAAAATTTCAAGTCTACGATACTTTTCTTTTAACAGTATTCCCCCCCCCCCCCCCCAAGGCTTTGCCAAGTTGTGCTTTTATGAGAGTTAGCAGTATCCTGGAAATACAAAAGCATTGGACTTTCCAGTTGGGAGAGTGGCCCATTTCCTCACATAGGCTTCAGCGTCTGTAGGGGCTGCTTGTGATGCTGACTGGCTGAGGACAGCCAGGTCCCATGTACCAAATGTTCTGAGCGTCAGCCTGACAGAAGGCAGGCAGGACCCAGACTGTTGTGGTACCCAGGTGTTCTTAGAGCAGAGTGAAAACCCAACGGCCCTTTTGCCTGTCTCTGACTAGAAAAGTGGCTATCGACATGCCTGAGGTGAAGAAAAAAACAAAATCTATGCTGTGCCCCTGTGTGTGTGCTGCCTGCTGAATCCCGACGACATAAAATGACAAGAGAAATGGGCAAGAGACAGAGATTTAATTGAATAAAAACTCCAGGCTGTGACAGGGGTGGGAAGACACAAAGCAGTAATTAACAACATAATTTTTTTAAATGATGATACAATTAATTAACATCCTGGGTAAGTGCAAAGGGGGAGGGGAGCATCTCTCAGCCAAGAAACACTGCGAAATAAAGGAGAGGAGAATCTGGTGTCTTTTGCAAACATGTGCAAATGGCCCCGGTTATCACAACTTCAGCAAAGCCCACCCCCTCTCCAACGGGTTTCTTGCACTAGGGAGACTCAATGAGCCAGTGCACGTTAAATCTCAGTTTATTCTATGATAGCTTCCGTGAGTTCTCATCCATGAGGGAGGACTCCTGGGCTAATGAAAGGAGAAGCCTGTTTGTATCACTCATGCTGCAGGATGAGGAGGACTGATCCAGTTACCCTTGGTGGGGACTTGTGGGGAGGGAATCCAGGAGCTAAAAGCCTTGCTGGAGTGGGCTTCCATGCCTAATGTATCCCGAGGCTGATGGAACTAAAGCGGTTGACTGGGGTGGTAAGAGGGCTGGCCATAACCAGGGCACAGTCTTCTGAAACTGTTGGGATGTCCACTTAGGGGAAAGAGTAGCTGTGACATAGAAGAGTCTCTCAGACGGGCAGCGCCAGTCCATAATTCATGCAGACCACGCCCTCCTGTCTAAACCCTGCCTGAGGGTTTGGGGTGGCAGCTGGGCATGCTTTTGGAACCCACTTCTGGGAGAATGGGATGCTCCCTATGACCCGGAAAACTCAACTGTCCCCTTTCTCGCTGCACTTCTGTGTGGCTGCAATAGTCACCTTAGTGCGGTCCATCATCGTCAAGAAACACAATGAAGTTGGTTGCTCGCTAGGACTCTTGTTATGACCTTGTGGGTTTTCTCCCTCTCAAGAGTACTTCCGAATAGGGGACTGCCTGACTGGAAAGACTTATCAATTGTAAGATATTTGGAGAGGAAATCTTTACACACCAGCCCCTAGCCCAACGCTCATATTCAGTGGAGTCTAAATTCATCTACATTTACTAGAAAAGTAGACTGCTTCTGTTTCCACAATACCCTGTTGACTCATGTACAATCTGACCATTCTTCTGGCTAGCAGACATGAAGTTAGATCAGCAGAGAAGCATGGTGGCTTGACTTAAAATAGGGGTTACTTTATTAAATCGCTACTGCTATAGCATGGGACATATGTAAAGAGTAAGACACAAGGTATGAGGATAGCTTTTGCGTTCTTGACCTTCTGTCCTTGAAAGAAGGTGATTTTTCCAAGTTGACTTGCTTCCTTGCAAGTCTTACAGTGCTGAAAATCAGTACGTTGTAGCCACAAGTTGGAGTGGAAACTCATTTTCACGTGCTTCCCAGAACTGTTCAGACTTTAGACTGAGCAGATCACCCTATTCACAGGACATGGTGGAAAGGCCACTAGTCACTCAGTAGGAATGTGCTATTATAAGTACAGTCATTCATTTTTCTTTTCTAAACTGAATTTGGCCTACGGTAGATACCTAATAGAAAAACAAACAAGCTAATAGCCTCTCACTGAGGCTGAAACAAACAACACAATACTTATTAGTTTATAGAACTAAAGTCTAAGGAGAGTCATTGACCCAGAGTCTGTGGGAGCAGAACTAGTCTCTGGCTGACTGGGTTTCAACTAAGAGGAGGCTCTTCATCAACAGGCAGACTCAGAAATGTTTGGATTTCAAAACACCCCACTCAGAAAAGAACATGTTATCTAGATTTTTCTTTGCTCTGTTTAGGCATTTTAAACAGCTGCTTGGTACTTTGTGGAATTATAAAGCTATGTATAACACAGAGATCTTTCTGGAACATATGTGCCCCCTTTCTTTACAATGAAGGTTATTTTTTGAGAACTAAGATCGTGTTTTCAAACAAATATGATCATTAACTGGCGTGTTGGAAAACATATGGCGTGGTTAGTTTCTGTGGGATCACTCCTAATGAAAGTGAGAAAGTTCCCACAGGGAATCAAAATGCTTCCAGTTGGGGAGAGCCAACAAAGAGGGGAGCAGGGATCTCCCTACAGAGTCACAAACATGGCAGAGGTCTCATGATTTCAACGGGACAAGAGGACCACGTCTTGGCTTGTGTCACAGCGGCGAAGAGCTTCCAAGAAGAGTAACTCACCTCAGGAAAGCTCCCGATTGGTAGGTCCCATTCTTGATGGGCACTGAAAATATGGCCCTGGCTCCATCCTACTGCTGCCCTATCCAGGGGTGAGCGCTTGGTGGAGGCACAAAATTTCAGATTGACTCTGCCTGTCACCAAAGACTGCTTATTTTACACTGTATTTCCCAGAACCAACTTCTGGGCTCTCCACTCTGTTTTGTCTCTCTAATCATTGTGTTTTTCTTTCTTTCTTGACAGCAGACCCAAACAAAGCAAAAACAAACAAACAAACAAACAAAACCACAGAAACATCACCTTGGGAGACAGAAAAGACTAAGACAGGTCCGATCACGAACGACAAGTGTCTCGGCCTCGCCCTGCGCAGGGGCAGTGAAGACCATGGGCTGGCGGGCAGTGGCTGCTGCCGCAGCCGTCACCTTAACTGCACAAACACTGTGTTTAGACGACTGACAAGTGCGGAAAGAACATTGCTGAGTCCCGTTTGTGCGGCTCGGCTGTGCGGCTCATGGTGTCGGAGGTGGTTTTGGAGATGGGCATGAGCTCTCACTGTCGAAGCTGGCAGCTCGGCCCTGCCACTGAGGGGAGAAGAAAAGCTGGTTATTGATTGCTGGGGGGAATTGACTTCTCAGATTCACTGGTCCATGCATTGTGTCCACCTCTCCCGGCCTCAATAAGCTTTCTAGACCTTTGCTGTCAGCCATGCAAAAACAAAGATACAAGCTCAGAGCTTCCTGTTTGGAATACTTTGTTTTCAGAAAAGACCTACTGTTGATCTAATTCAGCTTCCTTTACAATATGGAGTGTGTGTGTGTGTGTGTGTGTGTGTGTGTGTGTGTGTGTTTTAATGAGGTGCCATGACTGAACCATTTCTGAATGCTTCGGCCATTTTTCACACACTGAAAATCAGATTATGTTAGCAGCAAAGAGAGGCAGCATGTGCCCTTACTGCCAAGAACCTGCGATCATGAATTATTAGTGATTTGCCTGGGAGCTGTTAACACAGGAAAAAGAAGCCCTGATGTTGCTTTGGTTGGGGCCCTCTCCTTCAGTCTTAGGCATCTTATGGGTATTTGCACTGGCTTGTGAAGGGGCAGGAGGTGAGGAGACATAGCCCTGCCCATTCCCTCTGCACCCCTCCTCCCGGGGCCCCTCCAAACCCCACTGAAGTGGCTGATGTAATGAGGCGTAATGGAGTGAAGGAACAGGCAGCGGATGGATGGGCCGGTCCCTGGAGCCGTTCGACCCTTCTTCAGATGGAAACGCCAGTCATAGCTAAGCGATGTTTTCTGGGCAGACATCTGACCCTATGAATATTTCTGACCTATCTGGCAGGGCTTCAACTTCAAAGTGAGTCAGTGTCCACTGCTCACTCACTCTTTTGTGGCTGGGAGAACCTGTGCTTTCTCATCGCCTGCAGGGCAGGCTCCAGAAGGAAGGGGGAGAGGGAGAGGGACAGAGAGGGAAAGAGAGGGAAGGAGGGAGGGAGGGAGAGAGAGAGAGAGAGAGAGAGAGAGAGAGAGAGAGAGAGAGAGAGAGAGAGAGAGAGAGAGAGAGAGAGAGAGAGAGAGAGAGCCCAAGCCCTAAGTGGTCTAGATGACTTTCTGAACTACAAATGCAGCCCTTTCTGCTTCTTGTGAACGATAGGGATCTCCTCCTGGAGGGATGGAGCTGATGGAGCACGTGTTCAGATGCTGCAGGAGGAATCCAGGACAAAGTTGCCCTTCCTCAACAATTTCCAGACAGAGCTGAGCTATCTGAGAAGTAGACCATTTGACTTTCAGTACTACCGCCATAAGTAAAGGGGACACCTACAGGGTCAAAGAGAGTTCACGGTCCTTCTCTGGGTTACTTTCTCCTTGGCTCTCCCTGTGCAGCCATACTGAAGGTTTCCACGACTAGCTAAAGGGTTATTGGTGTGGATGCCGGCCACAGCATGCCCCTGGCATGAACTATCTCACCAGGGATGAACTTGGAGCATCACCCAGTGAAACTCTCATATTCTGACAAGCAAGCAAACAGAGACACAGAGAAGTCAAGATCCAGACAACTGGGGGGCAGATCAGGACCCAGCTGGGTCTCCTCGCTCCTGACACATCGTCCTTCATAGTGCATCCTGCCACTGGGCTGGCGTGTGACCACCCACTAGGGGAGGAAAGAGACACACAGTATAATCGGAAGCCTAACCTCTTCAGGTCCACACCAGGTACTTACTCCTAACTCCAGTGGCTGTCTCTCCGCTTGCAGCATCCACGTGAGTGAAATCACAACCGAGGAGTTCCCTGGTGAAATAGTTTAGATACATAAATGCCTGGTTCTTGAGTCTCCTGTGACTTCTGACTCCAGAAGGTGACATGAGATGACTTCCTTGTGCTTCCCTTCAGCAAAACTTCAAATTTCTCCCTTCCCACCTCAAGTCAGTGGGAGGTACACAGTAATTACGGGCTTCTCCCGTGGGTAAGCACGTCACTTAAACAACCTGACCCACAGGCCAGGGCAGGGCAGAAGACATGAAGTGACTAGGCAAGGGGCCTTTTTCCTTTCTACAACAGCCCAGAGAGGAGTCACACAGAGCATAACTGCTTATAATGGCACAAACGAGGGGACACTGGCTTCCCTCCTAGCCCCGGATTTGTCCTATGAAGATAAACAAAGGGAAGCGATGGCTTCATGGACAATGCAAAGGTGAGTGATTACAGCAGACGTATCATGGTGGCTCTGAAATAGCAGCAAACCTGTCCCCAGCACACAGGGAGCTTATTGTTTTGGGGCAGCTGTGTCCTACTCAGATCCTTTGCTGTGCTGAAATGGGTAACGGTCCAACCGAGATCTCAAAATCCGTGTCAGAGGACCTGAACGTGGTCTTTTGTTAATGGAGCGCCTTGAATAAGGTCACTGGTCAAGCCAGCTCTGTGTGTGGGGAGTGACAATGACAGGCAGCACTAGGAGGGAGGGCACTGGCTACAGCTTAATGGATTTTTATTCATGAGAGATTTGAGCAGGGGAGAAATACCTTCCCAGTTAATTTGTTTCCCTCAACCTTAATTTTAAACCCCAAACAGGCAAGCGCGCATGGTGCTCTCTGTTCTCATTAATGAAAGAAATGATCACAGCGTGGGAAACTCTGCCGAGAAGGGCGTGAGACAAACATGGAGGGCTTCGCAGAGATTAGGCCATTTATCATCTTGAAAGCTGGGAAGACTTCTTTATAGGTTACACAAATGCAAGACCTGAGTTTCTAGCTAAACAGCCCCAAAGAAGGAAGACGGGAGCCCATGGGGTGATTGGGAGAACACAGGTGAAGAGAACCCCAGGAGCAGAGCGACTAGGTCATATTAACCAGGCAAGGTTGTAGACACATTTCTTTAAAAAAAGGTACTTAAACTGTGGGTGCTAAGAGGGGCGGTGAAAACCAAACTGATGCATACTGCCAAAATTCTAAGTTGCCAAGACAAATGTCCTTTTCAGGAGAAGCTGTCCTCCGAGGAGCAAATGTGAGGAGGTGGGGGAGGGGCACTCCCCATGCTGCCTGGTGTGCCAGGTCAAGAAAAAAAGTAAACCCAAAGGATATGAATCAATTTAATCTCTTTTTCGTTTTCCATATACAGTTACTTTCCCTTCACTGTCTCATCAAATATTCATTTTCAAGGGCTTCTCTCCACTTTATCTTCCTTGCCTTTGTCATCTGGACTGGACAGTTGGAGTTCCTCAAAGAAAAAGCCCTTGGAATCAATTATTTGGCTTAATTAGACAGAATTCATCATGATTCCAGGGTCGGGGCCCGGTCCTTCTGGGGTACTTTGCCCCAGCCACTGCTCTGCTGTGTCTTTCTTTGTCAGGGACAGGCAAGAGGGGCCTGGCAATGGTGACCCTCCATTACAGATTCAGGGTACGACAAGCAGCTGTGGCCTAACACGTGGTCCTGAGCCCATTGCCTGAGAGTTAGCATGTATCAGAAAAGTTGACATGGGCGTCTTTTCTTCTCATTTGTCAGCCAGAAAACCAAACACCAGAGCAGGGCGGTGAATTACTTGAAGTGTCACAGCCCACCAAAGTCCTCTCTGCTCACATTACATGCCGAGTCCCCAAGCTACCCGAAACTGGTTAACGTATTTATTCTATTCTTAAATGTTTCCACAATATTATAACGGAAGGGGCGGGATTAAGGCATTACATCCTGTTCCTGGGTTGAATCCACATGGACTTTGGTGAGGTGTTAGAATGGTTTCAGATTGGCTAGCGCTCTGCTCCGTAGTGCCTACTTGTGACTGGGAGTAGGAAGCTCACTCATGCCATGGCTGAGGGCAGGGCTCCACAAAGGGAGGAGGAGCCCAAGGGACTGGCCTCGCACACTGAAGAGCCTCAGATGTGGTGAAACCACAGAAGTCACAAGACTGGATGGAAAGACCTGAGCTGGCAGGATCTTTGGCCTATTCCTGGCTCCTTGATACTGCCTCCGGGCCTGGGGTGGTAAGCTCCCTGGAAGCCACCTTCTCCAGGTCTAATCCTCTTGGCTTCTGCTCTTTCTGGGGACGACACCTTGAACCATGGTTGGGATTGCTGTACCCACCCTGAGAAGGGAGGGGTGTGCAGGTCCTCAGATGTGCCGTGCCTCTTCTGATCAGAGTGGGGGAAGGGTGTTCTTAAGGGCCATGTGGAAGAAGGGAGACTCATATTCGGAATTAAGGGTTTTCTGTTTTGTACAGTTCTCTAGACGTAGTGAGTGCCTACTAGGCTTCCCAGGATGGGCAGGGCATGAGATGCTAGAAATGAAGCCGAAAGCTTGACCGACCACCCCAGCATCCCAGCACACTTGAGGAAAAGCAGGCCTGGGGGCTACCAAGAGAAGGGAAGAGAGGGGACTTAGTGAGATGGTAATTTAGGGAGGTCTGGACAGTGGGAGCCAGTGATGGTCCTTCAAAAGGGGCGGGACCAGGAGAAAAGTATCCAGGCAGATGTGTCTCGAGTCTGGAAAGAGCACAAGAGTGTTCAACTGCGGGGTTTGGTGCAGGGTGGACAGACAGTAAACACTCCTCAAAGCTGTCATTGAGAGAGGAGTAATGGGCTCAGAGGAGGGCAAGCCTAGAGGCCCAGCCTTGTTAGAACTCAGGCCTCCAGATTTAGTCAGAAGGTGTGACACCAGACACCAAACTCTCTCCTAGCTGTGGTAAGACACTGTATACTGAAGAGAGGACGTGTTCTTCGGCTATCTCATCTAAGCAGATGAGAAAAACTGCCAAGCCGTAGCCGTCTGGAGCCTCAGGGAACTTACTGTTCTGATGGGGGTGGGATTCCTTGCCAATTCTGACCTCACCCCCTTGAGGCTTACTCCTCCAGGACTAAACTGGCCCAAGAGCTTTGAGAAAGCTTTTCAGGCCTGGCACAACGGACTTCCAGAAACCTCTTCAGAGTTCTTACTTTCCATTAAGGACTCGGTGTTGCTGCTGAACTTAGTTATTTTTAAGGCAAGGACCTGTGTAGTCCACATTGGCCTCAAACCTATGAAGTTGAGGATGACCTTAAACTCTGAATCCTCCTGACAGACACGAGGGTTACCGGTTTGTACCACCACGCCTGGCTTTAGGCAGTGCTGGAGAGCGAACGCAAGGCTTCATGCATGCTAAGCCAGGAGTCTACCAACTGAACTACATCCCTAGCCCATCACTGTTACTTTTGAAATGCTCACAATCAGGGATGTTTTTCCAGGTAGCCTCCATGTTCTTTCTCATCTGCCTGCTATACACTGGATGTTCCCCATGCCCCTTTCCCGTAAGAGGTGGAGGACTCACAGCAGCCATCTGCCATTCTCCAGCCCACAACATCATGCGGTAAATATGCCAGTGGCCAGGCAACCTCACCCACCTCTTTGAAGGATTTCTTTACCTCCACCAAGGAGTGCCAGTGTGCAATGGGCTTCCGTGGATATGCCAGCATCTCATTCCAGTGGTCTCTGCCAAGGCCTTCAGCGTTGATCCCCACTCTACAGACGCCTATGATCTCATTGTGGCCAACTCTGAGGAAGAAACAAAAGTCTTAGTATTGGCCATTCAAAATGCTACAAGAAAGGGATATCCTTTGGGGGAAGGACTAGGTCTAGTACATCCAACTCAGAACCATGAGCTCTGAAGATTAATGCATATCAGGGTCTTCAGCTGCCAGTAGCCCTGAGACTTTGCCCAACCTCCTATGGCAACGGACTAAAAGGAGGGAGTAAAGGCCACAAACCTATTTGGAATCTCATTAACAGAGGCAGAAGGCCTGGCTGGGTATTAGGAGGCCGTCTCTTCCCTTATTTGACTTGGGAAGCACGTTCCAACCTCTCTGGAGATCCCAACACTTGGAAATATACCAACCTTCTCTGAGCATCATTTCTCCATACGACTAGTGGCTAGGCTGTGATTTATTCACTCAGCAAGGACATAAATCATCCCTCAAGTATGTTAGTCAAGCACCTACTATGCCTGAGAACTTGAGCTAAAACATCTAGGGTTGAGGCTTTATAGTGTGATTTCTTTATCCTTCAACTAAAATGATGCTTGGAGAAGAGTCATGGGATGGAGAAGTTGAAAATGTACCTGAGCCAGTCTTAGGAAGGAAGAATCCAAAAGAGAAGAAAAGAGAGGGGAGTTAGTGGGATGGCAATTTGGGGTCCAGATTATGGGAGCCCTGGGCAGTGGGGGCCAGTGGTGGTCCCTCAGAAGGGCAGGACCAGGAGGAAAGTGTCCAGCAGATGTGCCCTGAGTCGGGTGGCTGACTTAGGGTAGAGAGTGATGGAGGCTTCACAGTCATTCTGTGGGAGAGAAGGTGCTACAGAGGCATTTGAAAGGGCAGAAAATGGGGTGTGGTGGCAAGTAGAGGAAAAGAAGCAGTCACAGATGAGCTCAGGGAAGCCGGTAAGTAGTTACCCTGATGGGAGCAGGCTGGGGAGGGAAACTGGAGATTTTAGTAAGGGGAAGTCCATGCTCTTCCTCAAATTCCTATGTATTTCTTAAGTGGAGCCATATTTGAAACCAATGGGCCCTAAACCATAGGGCTAAGGTCAAGGGCCCCTGTGCTGCACTGGGGGAAAGCAACCATACTCCTTTGGGCAGGCGCCTACCTATCGTAGTCCATAACGGAGATGAGCAGGCTCACTTGATCCATGTTTTCTGGGGGGATGTCAAAGATGATGGCCTCATTGTAGACAGGGTTGAGGGTGTTCTTCTTGATAGTTGTTTTCTTCTTTTTCAGTCTCCGCCCGTCACACAGCAGGGATACCTTGACATAGGGATCTGTGCCAATGAGGGCAGTGCAAGACATAGTGTGTTAAGCAGATTGTTGTTGTTGTTTCGTTTGTATGCTTTTTGACACAGGTTCTACTCTGTAGCCCAGGCTGGCCTCAAACTCACAACCATCCACCTGCCTCAGCTTTCCAAGTGCAGAGGTGACAGGTGTGAGCCGTCATTAGCCAGATGTTGTTGATCAGCATTTGCGCACAGGGACCAAATCGCTGGACCCACTGCTGCTCATCAGATGGGATCAGTGGGTTAAGATAATTAAGTCACCTTGTGTTTATGTAGCACACCTGTCTCTGAGGATGCTCCACACTTAATAAACACTGTCTTTAGCTACCTTCGTATTCTTGGGAGAGTACCTAATGGTGTGTCACTAATAGGAAAACTAGCCCCGATTTAGACAAGACACTTGTCAATAGTTATGTAGTTCCCAGCCCTAAATCTCAGCGGCACCATGGCTGGAGAGCTCAAAAGAACATTGCAGCTAACAAAAGCACTGTTTCTTTCACCTATACAGAATCATTTCCTGTGGAGTTTTGCCAGCTTTTTAACCAAAAGATAAAGGGGGTAAAAGTAGGACTCAGTGCTGCCTGAGGGGACAGCCACATGCTGGAATGCGGCAACAGTCACAGTGCTACTCTTGTCCTCCCCCTTCAAAGACATGATTTTTGGTCTCACTGTCCCAGTAATCTCATTTCCATTTGGAATCAAGAAGCAGGGAAGTGGCCCTGCTCGCTGCTTCCCGGAAGCCATTTCCTGGCCACTTCTGAGCAGTGAAGCAAGGAGGGACTGTGGCCAGGAGAGTGAGTGAGGCAGTCCCCCAAGACTCAGGGCAGCTGGTTGACATTTCATTTCTCAGTGGGGTCTTGGATTCTCTCCATGCTGCAAAGAGATGTCTTTTTATTAAACTCCCATGATCCTCCTAATCTTCTCTCCCCTTTAGCTTTCTGAATGGGTATTTCATGGTCATCTTTCTACCCTGAAATTTTCTACTCACCCAAATGAAGGGACACCTATTATATCTCACAGCACAGGTGTCTCAGTCACCATCATAATTAGTATTTATGCTGCACAGCTCGAGAATGAGGACAACTTGCAGGTAATAATAGCTTTGAGACCCTGACATGCTCAGACATCTTCTTGTCCAGAAGCCAGGGCTCATGTGAGCCTGTTAGGAAGCATGGGCCAAAGTAGTCCCTCTCCTGGCCTTGTAGTTCTGAGAGAAGCAGTTGTGCCTGGGTCCCTGAGCACAACCAGGCCTCATACTGTTTGGCATCATGTTGGGGAAAGGGCAGATGAAGGCTACACTTAGAAAAAAAACTAGACACCTGCGGAGATGAGCCCAACCAAGCCCCAAGTCTTAAAAACATTCTCATAGACACTCAAGTGTGCTGCTGACTAACCAGTATGACAGTGGCAGCTGTGCCTTAGCCATGGGACACTTGGGTTTATGGAGGAACTGGGGAGATCATGAGGAATTTAATCAACCTCCTGTCCTAGCCATTCACTTTCCCAGAGGGGGTGGGGCAGCCAGTAAAGAGGAAGAAGTGTTGAGAGTTTGTAGGCCATGGCTGTCTGGTTTCTATGGGCTCCCTTCCCTGAGGTTATTCCCTAGGACATTGGTCAGGTCGCCACGAGTGAAAAGAGTCAGGCCCAAGACCCATGTTTAATATTTAAGTCTTTCCAGCTACACATTGCTTTAGAAAGTGTCTCTAGGTTTGTGCTACCTTGTTCCTCTTCTATTCCTGGTTCCAGACACTCCATTCAGAACACATTTCCACGTAAGGAAAATATAGGCATAGCCACTTGTCCCCTGTGTCACTGGGCCAGTGCCTTCGTCCCAAGCTCTGTCCAACTATGCAAAGAGTATCTGGTTTACAGCATTCAGTGAGCAGATTACTGCAGGAATGGAGTTCTCACCATCATCTGAGAGGCTAATCAGAGAGCAGAGATGACTGCTCCCCAGGGTGCTTCTGGGAAATATTTGTGGTGTTTAGTAGAATGGTGGCCCCAGATGATCCTTGAGGTCTATTCTTCTGTATGATGCCCTGAGCATCAAGGGCCTAAAACCCAGCCTGTATTCCTGCTTCATTGTGTGGGAGTCATCAAAATTCAGCATTTGGAACTCGTTCTTGTGATAAGAGATGTCTATCATCAGGTTTACTTCCCATATACCCTGCAAAACATTTATCATCAATATCTCCATTTCATAGGCAGAAAATGGAGGCTTAAAGAGATTAAATGACTTGCCTAGGAGATGATCCCAGGACTGACTCCAAAGTCACTTTTGACTTCTAGATACAAAGCAGTATAAACAAAAGGCGGCGGAGACAAAGGGTTATTCCACATTTTTGTAGCATGCTGCTCCTTTATTTTATGCTACTTTTACTGTCATGGTTCCAGGAAATAGGCTTAGATAACTGGTTCTGGGTTAGTTCGGATCAAAGAGAATGGAAGATCTTTGCTTTTAGAGGTCAGTGGCATACCTCTACGTCTAGAACAGAAATTAAGGAGCTCTGTTTTCTTTCCACATTAGTCCAATGCCAGACCTGTCTGGGCTGAAGACAAATACAATCTCAAGCTCACAAACAGACGATATATCATGAGGTGCCCTGGGTATGCAGGTATCCTCTTCATCACCTTGGGCCCAGTTAGTATGCTTGATGTAAATTCATTTATTCACTGTTCACTTGCTCATTCATTAGTCAACATTTAATGAAGGCTTATGGTGTTTCATGCTGTTGATCCAAAGACTTGCACAAAACAGGCATCTCTGGTGCAAAGAAGACCCTAGCATTTACAGAATCCATCTGAGATTTAACCGGGGCTTCCAGACCCAGGTAGGGAAGAGGGGAAGCTGTGAGGGAGAGGTTAGAACTTAACATTAAAAACAATCCTTTCACCCCAAACCCTCGATTTACAGCATCCCTTATTATTATTACCCATGGCTTCGCTCCAAGATCACTCTCTGGCACATCAATTTGATTATAACAGAGAAGACAGGGTTGGGGACCAGGGCAGCAAAATTCTATTTCCCTCAGCCGCCTTGAGAGTCCTCTGTGAATTTCTGTCCTCGTGTGCACTTATTTTGGTATTAAAATGAAATCTACATTGGCTGTATTCGGGGGGAAACTGGCTTGCTGTTGCCTGAGAGCTTTTTCCCATGTCAGCAGAGGTTCGTGACGCTCTCTGCCGAATCCTGATGTGAGTCAGCTGTTTGGGGGAGGGAGAGCTTGGGGGCCCTCAGCGAGGGCTTCGGACTCAGGTGGGCACTACTGTGAGCTTGGGGGCCCTCAGCGAGGGCTTTGGAATCACTCAAGTGGATGCTGCAGCGCCTGTGGGAGGGATTCAAAGAAAACTCAGCTTCCAAGCCCCAGACCTCCTCCTCCATCTTCATAAGGTGCACCAGAGCCCAGATGCTTTCAGCTGGACCATGAACCCCCCCCCCCCCCCTCTCTCTCTCTCGCCATGGTGGGTACTAAATACAGGGTTTTGTTCATGCTAAGCAAGTACTACGTACCTGGCTCTTAAGTTTTTAGAACAGGCTCTCACTATTAGCTCAGGCTGGCCTTGAACTTGCTATTTGCCTAGACTGACCTCAAACTGTGAGCCAGCCACACAGTGTCTTCCTCCTTGCAGTCTTCTTGCTTCAGCTGTGTGCCACTATGTTTGGCTCCACCATCATCACCTTTTCCTGGCATTTGTAATCGTATTTCCAGGAAAATAAACGGTGAACACAAAGGAAACACTTGAAAAATTCTTTACTGTATTTTCATTTGAGTTCAAAAGTGCCTCCTATATGGTTTTTACACTGATAATCAGAATCATTTGAAGAGCCTCTTTGGTGGAGGTCCTGGGAAACAAACCAAGCTTTTCTCCCCATTCAGCATTCGGATGCAGCCCCATGTTCACTGGGAAATTCTCTGGAAGGATCCATTTGTACACATCTCAGGGTAGTTTGAACTGACAGAGGGAAAGGAGGTTTCTGGGCCTCAAGCTACTGCTTTGTTAACTCAAAACACAAATACGTTCCCCTATGACAGTGGTTCTCAACCTTCCTAATGCTGCAACCCTTTAGTACAGTACCTCATGTTGTGGTGGCCCCGATCATAAATTATTTTCCCTACTACTTCGTAACTGTAATTTTGCTACTGTCATGAATCTTATTGTTAACATCTGATATTCAGGATATCTAATATGCAACCCTAAAGGGGTTTAGAACAGGTTTAGAACTGCTGCCCTATGACAACCTGCAGAGAGAGGAAGGATCGAGCCTCTTGTTCAATGTCAAGCCTGGAAGTTTCTGCAGCTGCCTTCACACAAGTGTCTCCCAGAGGCTGGAATGGAACTAGGTTTCCACTCAATACAGCTGTTGCTAAGACGAATGCAGGAGCTTTGCTGGAAAACCACAGATTCTTGAATTCAAATGCACTTTGCTTTCTATCCAATCCACTCCTCTGGTGAATGCAGTTTGCAGATTGTTGCCTCAGGCCTGGGTGAACCTGCTAACATTGACATTCCAACTCCATATAACTTTGGTAGGTCCTGGCAAGACTGCCCCTCCCCAAGAATAATACTAATAGTATCTTCTGAGTCTACACGTGCGTAGATTACCAAGCATATTCTGAATTTGACCAGTGCACAGGATCAACACTCCCAATTTGCAATTAAAAAAACTGCTACAGTTTAGATCTTGAATGTCTCTCTAGGATATTTTGAAGCCCTGGTCCCTAGCCTGTGGGACTAGTCATGGTAGAAACTCCAGGCTCCTGGGGACATGCCCTTGATATTAGGACACTGACTCCACTCCTCTCTCCTTGTTTCCTAGCTGACATGAGGGGAACAGGTATCCTGGCCATGATGTACTGTGTTGCCACAGGCTCAAAGCGAGAGGGTCAGATGACTATGGGCTGAAACCTCTGACCTGTGAGCTACACAGTCTCTTCCCCCTTTGAGTCAGTTTGGCAGATGTCTGCCCACACAGATGCAGAAGTCCATATCTTTACATAGGGAGGAGGTGGCAGAGGTGGGAGTCAGATGCGGGCAGTTTGCCCCCTAACAATGAGGCAATTCTTGCCTTTTCTTCCTGAATACTCTTCTAAACCCTGCAGTTTGGACTTCAGGGAGGCCAAATGATAACCCCGGAATAAGAGAGGTACCTGAGTAGCCTGTGATGTCCATTGCCTTAAGATTACGACACTTGATCACTGTGAGGGTGAGCCTGCCTGCTGTGGGCAGGTAGCAGAGGGAGAACATGATCTCTCCCAGGTCCACACTTTCCTGCAAAAGAAGCAGATGAGAGAGCGGGTGAGGGGTACTTGTTTTGCAGGCAGTGGCTGTGGGGAACTCTGGAGCCCAAAGTGTTTGGAATGTGTTTAAGACCCAAGGGACTGGTCTCATCTGGGGTAACTGGGAACAAAGGGCAGTGATTACAACGATGCCCCTTCAAATGCTCACCTCTTCAGTGTTCTCTCTCATCGTTGTAAATTGAGGCTTGCTCTGCAGGTAAGGATGACATTGAACTTCTTTCTAACTCTCCCACTTCTGCTCTCTGAGTGGTGGCTGGGCTTACAAGCTTACATCACCATAACTGGTTTCTGAGTTGCTAGGCAAGCACTCTGTACTGCAGCCCATTCTTCTTGCGTCTGATCAGATTTTAGGTCCATCTTTGTATCCTACTTTGGACACCAGCTCTATGCATGTCATGCTGCAGACCTTTATATGCCCTTACCCTGTTACTGAGACTCTGATGTCCATCTATCCAGTCAAGTGGTCAGAACACACTCTCCAGCCCCTGCATCGTTCTTCTTCTAGGACATCTGAAACTCTTTTCTGCTCTGTTTCTCAGCTTATTTGTCTTTCATTGCCTGGCTGCCTTGGCCCCAGGCTCTATCTTCTTGTCTAGAAGTAGACGTGCAAGGAATTGATACCCTGCTGAGGCCATTCTGCCAACCAGCCAGATGCACACTTGCCATCCCATGCTTTATGACCCGCTTCATCCGGTTTGTCCTCTTCCCTTAAATGTGATGATCCTTCAGAAATACACAGATGCTCTGCTGCCTCTCCTATCCCTGGATCATCTCATCTAGGGATCCCTGGAAGCTTCCAAGAGAGCAGAGAGTGTCCTTTCCTAGAAAGTCAGAGCATCTTTCTGGAGAGACAGCAAGCATGCCCATCTGTTGTAAGAGATAGTTCCTCAACAGATTGCTCTCTCTGCCTGCTTCCTACTTATTGAAAGGGGGTACAGACGGCTTAGAATTCAAAGACATGGAACTGTCTCCCAGAGGTAAGTTAGAGGGAGGAGGCAGAGGAAGAAGAGGAGGTCAGAGTTTGGGGTGGCTCTGATTCCAGATGGGGTCTTATACCTATTCATTCATCTGTCCATTTATTCAGTCAAAAATATTTATCAAACACCTGCCATGTGCTAGGTGTTGATTTATAGGAGAGAACAAAGAGACAAAAACTCCCACCTTCACAGAGCTTACATATTATTAGGGCCATAGAATGCATGAATATAATAATATAATATATATTAAAAGGAAATGTCAGGCAAAGAAGGGGTTAATAAATTACTGTGTGTGGGGGGAGTGATACTAGCAGAATTTTTAGACAGTTAAGTCAGGTGTTCCCTGACTCCATCCATCTGTTCATTGATTGGTTCCTTCTCCTCCCAGATTTATTTATTCAATTTTATGAGTGTATTTTGTCCACGTGCAGCATGTGCGTGCCTAGTGCCTATGAAGGTCACCAGAGGGTGTCAGATCCCCCAGGAACTGAAGTTACAGATGGCTGTGAACCACCATGTGGGTGCTGGGAATCACCCAGGTGCTAGAACCATCTCTCCAGCCTGGGCTGGCCTGTTCTTATTTTCTGAATGCTTACTGGAGACAGGCTGCAGGGTTGGATGGATACAGTCCCCACACCCACACAGTCAACCAGGTCACCTAATGGTGCTCAGATTCCCATCTTTCTCAGGTGTGCCCCTTGTCTTCCTAGACCCTTCATCAAGGGAGGGAGATACAGAAGACGCCCTATGCCCTGGAGCTCTGGGAACACCACTGTGCCCTGGGGTCCATCTATGTGATCAGTGGCACATCTGGATAATACACCATCTGTGACTGAACCAATGAGATACAAGCAGAAATCCATCTGTCCTTATTTCCCTTCACAGCGCTCTAGGTCTGATCCCGCTCGAAGTTCCAGAAGCTGTTTCAGACTCACAAGGACAGTAACAGGAGCCGCCACTGCCCTGTTCATGCATCTAGTAAGTCCTTAGCTGCTTTCTCTCAGTGAGCCTTAGCATAGCACCGCAAGGTGGGTGCTCCCGTTGTGCCTGCCTCACACGGAAGGAAATGAATGTTCCTCAAGTTAAGGACTTGCCTGGGGTCACATGACTGGCAAGTACTTTAGTGCCAGACATTCATATGTCAATGTCCCTGCCTAGAAACCTTCAGCTCTCCCCCTTGTTCAGCTTCTGAATCAAGACTCTGCTTCATTTGGGGGCTTCAGCGGCCCAATTCTTACTTCCTCATCTTATTCTCTTCTGTAGGCCAACTTTTGCCCCACATAACTTGTTTGTCTTTAGTTACTTTTGCCAAAATCCATCTCCTGCTCCTTGCTTGGACAACTCCATTCCTGATGAATAGCTCATGGGAGTCACCAAGTCACTCCCGTCTTCAGTCACGACCTCTCCTACCATGTAGGAATTAACAAAAGGCCCTTTTGGTGTAGATTCCTTGTCTAATAAACCACATACGCTTTGGAGGCAGCAAACACCACACACGAGGAGCTGCAGATGCCGGCACCAAAGGATGATTGTGTTATAGTTGAAAGAATGCAGATAGGAGGGATTCTCTGTATCCACCTTAGAATCAAGGTAGGGCCTTGGGAGGACTTCTGGAAGCCTCTAGGGCTCCTCTAACAGGGAATAAACAAAGGCTGCTGTCACCATGTCCCCATTATTGCCATGCTGTAGTAGCAGGGTGGCACTTTCATATGCTGTCTCTTTTAGGAGTGCGAACCGGTCTGTTTATGAACTTGGGAGACTGGCTTTGGCTGCATGGGCTTCATCAGGGTGAATGGAGTCTCTGTGAACATCTCTCAAGGATAGCTCCTTCAGGGGAGCATTGGCCCAAGAGACCTCCTCTGTCTGCAGGACTGTCCTTTCCCATGAGACTGTGGAGGCGTGTGGGTGCTGGATGTGTGCTACATTATGGGGCCCCCAGACCCCGTACCTAGTGACTGTCACTCTCTGATAGCCCAGACAGGAACAGGACTGGCCCAAAATCGCATCATGATTCAGAGAGGAAATGAGTCTGGGGGTCCGAAGCCGTTTCCAGGGCCTTCTGCTGTGGCAGCCTGGGCCTGCTGGCAAGCTGGCTGCTGAGAGTTGGTGGACTAAGAGGTGTTGTTCCACTTCCCAGGCAGACAACACAGGACTGGGGCATTTGCTCAAGGTTAATTCTGAGTAAATGGCCAGATGGGAGGTAGGCAAACAGCAGTCAGTCACCATACCTGTACCTGGTGGGACGTGAGGCTCTCTCTGGGCGCTGACCTCTGTCTCAGGTTTCGCCAAGTTCTACACACCTTGCCAGCCTTCTATCCTCGCTGGGAATGTTTGAGACTTTGGCTTTTAACAAAAGGGAGACAGGGCTGGTGCCTCATTGCTTTCATCTCCACCTGATGTCAGGGCTGCCTCAGGGCAGACTAGTAATGCCCTCCCAGTGTGGGAGAGGTTACTGATGTCCACAAAGTGGCAGAAACCAGCTCTGTCCCCCTCTACTAACCTAGGGGCTGATAGGGCTGATCTGAACTCACTAGCAGCTTGGCTGAAGCTGGGAGGAAGCAGGCCTGATGCCAAGTGAGGAGAAGCAGAAAATTGGCTTCTGGAGAAACCTGTCCTAAGTGCAATGGGTATTCCGCCCACCAACGTTTCTGCCCATAACAGCAGCATGCTCCTTGGCTTCAGGGTCCAGGATGCCTGGACAGCAAGATTCTGAGGGCACATCCATTGTGACACTGCTTTCATAGGCTCCACAGCAGCTACCTGCCACAGACCATTAAGGCATTTAAAGCACTTAACATAACCCTAGACATAGTCAATTATGATGATGATAAATATTATAGTATGCTAACCAGGAAAGAACAGTGAACCACAATCCAAGAGACCCAGGCTTTTAGTCCCTCTGCTGTTTATTAGCTGTGAGACCTTGAGCAAGTCATTTTCCATCTCTGAATGCTCACCTGTGAAATGAAAGGGTGATACTCAATATCTATCCTGCAAGCCACAAGACCTAAGAGTTCACACCAGAGGATGTATGAGCCATCACCTGCTGAGACTGTCCAGGGATGCTGAACCAGTGTTTGTTGCCCATCTCAATGAACCTAGCAATATCGCTTGACAGTCCAAACACTTTCCACCCTCCAGATCTCACAGCCCCCAGATGCTCTGCTGTTCCCCAGAGTCAATCGCACTACTTCCTAAACAGACCAGGAGTGCCCTGATTCTGCCTGGGTAATCCAGGCTGCGCAAAGCAAGAATGATGCTTCCCCATCTTTTAGAGAACACTTCTAGTGTCTTAATCATTAAGTAGCTTGTCTGAATCTCTCATCATCAGCAGAGAAGCATCCGCTACGCTTTCAGGAGAGCCACGGGAGACCTAAAAAGGCTTTTGCAAACACTGGCCAGGAAGTGCTGTTAAGTTACTTTGGGCCAAGTGGACCTGGAAGATAGTGTGGAAGCCAGAACGGCTCTGATGGGTAAAGAGGCTGCAGTGAATACCCTCTGTGTAGGCCTGAGGGTTAGGCACACAGATGAGTCAGATATGGAGACTGGACCCTCCGAGTCAGGCTCACTCCCCTGGTGTCAGTGCCTGTCTCTTCACAGCACGGGTCACAACACAGAACCTGAACGTTAATTTGGGGATGTTGTAATGGGTGCTTGTGGCCCTTTGACAGTAGGGAGTGGAACCTGGCTTCACTTATCATTTCACCTTTCATGTCTAGCCCAAGGCCTGAGGATAATAGATGAGAATATGGATTTGGGATCAGGCAGCTCCGGGACCACGTTCTAGCTCTGATTTATGAGTAACACAACTTATGCAATCCTTCATAGATTTGGGGCTAATATCCAGCCTACCTCCTAGGGTTATTGAAAAGATTAAATAAGGTGATTCATGCAAAGTGCTTGGCTTAGTGTTTGGCAGGGAGTAAGTGCTCAGTATGGATTCACTGTTCTAATTACTACTATTATAGAAACTTCATGGTCTCAGGGTGGAGAC